GGCCACCACATAGTCCAATATCAACTCTGATAGGCCGGCTGCGGTTAACTTCGTCGTAGTCGGGATAAAAATGGCCCATTTGGTCAACCGATCCACCACTACCAGGATGGAATTATATCCATGGGAATTTGGCAGCTCCTCGATAAAATCCATCGAGATGCTAGACCAAGGTTTCGTAGCTACCTCCAGTGGTTTAAGCTCCCCATGAGGTTTCTGTCTGTTAGTCTTCGCTCTCTGACATACCGCGCATCCAGCAACATAATCTTCGACATCCTTCCTTACTCCAACCCAGACATAATCCCTCAGGACTAGTTCAAGGGTCTTCGCCGAACCTGGATGACCGGCCAAGGCTGAGTCATGTCGCATCTTCATGATCTTCAGCCGAGCATCGGCGTAGTTCGGCACATAAATGCGATCGTCGAATGTGAGGAAACCTCTTGAGTTCCACCCCCCACGAAGGATTAGAGGAGACCGCGAACTACGGCGTAGTTCGGTGATTGATCCTGGTTCCTGCACGTTATCGTTACACGTAGGATGAGAACACTCAGCGCAAACGACTCCTAATAATTCTTCTCTGACCCCTTCTATGTCTTCGTCCTCCTGAACTCCAAGTACTAGATCCATAGGGTCCACAAGATCATTTTCCTTTACCTCCCTTGTCCCTTGCAATGCTCGAAGGAGGTGACGCAACTCCGACGTGGTGGCGTCAACTTCGTCGAACTTCGGCAGACCTTGGATAAGGTTGCTCTCTTGTACCATGGTACTTCCTTTCCCGGAATGATAGTCCGCCCGTCTAGATAATCCATCTGGAAGACTTGCCTGGGTTCCTGGCCGATAAACCATTTTAAACCTGAAGTTAGCTAGCTCCTCTACCCACCTACCTTGCCGAGGACTGAGTTGTTTCGGTTCCATCCAGTAGGTAAGGTTTAGATGGTCGGTAAGTACTGTGGTTTCCACCTGCAATAATAAGTGTCTCCTTCTTCTGAAACCCTCCACTACAGCGAGGAACTCCTTTTCTCCTACCGTATAATTCAGTTGAGCTGTGTTGAAAGCACCAGACTCAATAGCTACCGGGTGTTCTTGACCAGCCGTGTTGATCTGCGAAATTATGAACCCCCAGCCGAAGAACGACGCATCTGTCTGTAATATCGTCTTCAATGTAGGGTCAAAATGGGCTAACACCGGCGCAGTACACATCCTAGCCTTCAACTCTTTGAAGGCTGACTCCTGTTCGACTCCCCATACAAATGGTACCTCCTTCCTTGTCAAGTCATTGATAGGTCTAGCAATCTTCGAGAAGTTGGGGACAAAGCGCCTGTAGTAGCTTACAACTCCAATGAATCCCCTTGACTCTCGTAGATTCTTAGGACGTGGGAAGGAAGTGATGGCATCAATGTATTCTGGGTTCACCGATACACCTTTAGAGGATACCACGAAACCCAGAAACACCACCGAATCTCTTTCGAACTCGCACTTACTAGCTTTCACGTACAGGCTCGCCTTCCGCAGTACCTCAAAGACCTTCGCCGTAGTTCCTCGTAATTCCTCCAACGTATTCCCATAAATGAGGATATCGTCAATGTAGACCACGACTCCATTCCCTAGTAGCTCTCTAAACACCTCATTTAGGAAGTGTTGGAAGACCGCGGGGGCGTTTCGCAGCCCATCACGAACAACCAGAGATTCAAACATACCATACTGTGTCCTGAACGCCGTCAGGTGTTCATGTCCCTCTGTCACCCTCAACAATTGGTATGCTCCAATTAGATCTAGTTTGCTGAAATACCTTGCTTTTCCAAGTTCTTCGGTAATTTGACCTATTAGAGGGAGAGGGTAGGCATCTGGTATGGTCGCTTCGTTCAGTTTTCGATAGTCGATGACCATTCGCCACTGTCCTTCGGCTTTCTTCGGTATCATAAACATTGGTGAGCCGTATGGCGAGTTACTTGCCCGAATTCGGCCAGCGGCGATTTCGCGATCTAGTATGTCTCTCAGCGCGCGTCTCTGATCTTCTCCTTGAGCATAGAGGGAGGCGACCTTAAGGTTCGCCCCCTCCTTAAGCTCAAACTTCAAATCGTAGGACCTTGAAGGGGGAAGGGTCTCTCCTCCCTTCTTCGGATTAAAAACGTCAATGTACTGGTGGTATTGTTCAGGAACTACCTGGAACAACTCGTCTTGTTCCTCCGGGCTCAGCTCTTCAAGCTCATCTTCGCCGCGGAGGTCTATCGCGTCCGTCAGAGTCGGCAGCCCTATGGCCGCTAACTTCGCCGCACTTGGTGGGGTTGGGATGGGAAATTTCACCGAGTTGTCTCTTCCATCAAGGACAACCCCTTCCTTCCTCATCCAATCCCACCCTATCACAACATCTGCGTCGCAGAGCGTTGTTACATCGAAACAAACAGATCGCACTTCGGCGTCCTTCGTCAAACTAAATCCGACTTCGACAAACTCGGTGATGGGTCCAGCGACACTCACCGAGCCGTCGAACATGTGAACGGGTACGCTCACCTGATATCGCCTCTTTTCTACGCCTATCTTCGTCGCCGCTCTAGGACTTATATATGAACAAGTAGCCCCGGTGTCCCAGAGCGTAGTTAGCTTCATTCCATTAATGAAAATGTCCGATTTAGGTTGATCTCTGGAAACGGAAGGGATGAGGAGATGATTATCGACATTGCATGAACAAGGGGTACTGAGTGGTGTATTTTTGTATTCACAATCCTCTGGCTCCATCAGCTGTGTTTCTTTTATGGGTTTGGGAATGGTGGCCGAGAGAATATGGCGGACCCGCCGAGCCTCGCCTACTGCGACAGGTCCTCTTCTTTTCCCTGGTCCTCTTCCAAATCTACTTCTCCTCCAACCGCATTCAAGTTCCTCCTCTGTCCGAGAGGTACTGCGTTCCCTCCCGATCCTCCACCACGTTCTCCGAACTTCCCCCCCCATGGAGGCAACAGTCCAACCTTAACCTTAGCCTCCCTTACAGGGCATTCCTTCAGCCAATGTCCTGCTTCACCACACTCGGTACACTTCCCCTCCTTCCTCCTTGTCTCCCTCAGATCGGAGCTCGGCCTAGGCCATCTTCGGCGAACTTCGTCGATGTTTGGCGGTGTACTCTTTACCACCGTCGACATCATAGCCGCCTGGACACCACCCTGCGCCGAAGGTTGCCCCTTTTCCCATTTCTTCTCTTCTTTCTTCTCCGTCCTCTGACTTTCCACCACTGTCGTTGTCCTTATCCCTCCTTCCCTTTTCCTCTCTGCCTCCTTCTCCACTTGTCTCCTCCACAGGCGGTTGTCCAAGGGAATCACAAACTCCAATAGCTCTTTCACAGTCCCAAACGATCTACCGTGTCTTGCAATTTCATCTAGAAGGTGCGATTTTAGTCCTTTCTTGGCTCGGTCAACTAGGTTTCCATCATCAGACCACTTAAGAATCGCAACATGTCGCTGGAAGGCGGAGAAGTAGTCCGAAGCAGACCCGGTTTGCTTGAGGTCGTTAAGTTGTCGGGCCGCAGTTCCTTCTTCGTCTGGATCACCAAAGTTAGTCTTGAGGTACTTAACGAACTGATCGTGTGTCGTGAGGTACTCAGGAAGAGGTCTTTTGGATAGATCGGGCTGCACTGCAAGAAGAGGTGTTTCGCGTAGATGAGAGATCATGAAAAAGACTTTCTTAGTGTCGTCGGGGAAAAGATGAGAGTTCAATTCGAAATGTACGTCGCACTCAGACAGAAAGGCGGTTAACTTGTTCCGATCTCCTCTCCAGAGGTCTGGGTTAGGTAGCTTTATCCCCTTCCGTTGTTCGCCCACTACGCTTGGGGTCGCCGAAGTTTGCCGTCCCATGGCGTACCTCACTCCTTCTGATATCCCTTCTGCAATCCCGCCCACTGTATCCCTTTCTCTTCTCTGTTCCCATTCCTCCCTACGCCTTCTCTCCTCCATCATGTCTTTGTTCATATTCGCCACCATCTGCATCAAGGCCAACACCACCCCTTGTGTTCCTTCTTCTCCCAAGTTCGCCGTACTTCCAGTGTTTTCTCTTGGGCGTGGGGTTTGGTCTGATCCAAGTGGGGATCCCGCAGGTGGGAGAGCATTAGACGGAGGAGAAGGAGGGTTAGAAGGCACCGGTGGAACGAACTCATCTCCTTGAATTGATCCCCCCACACTATCCTCCACTCCAAGGTCCTGCCCCATTGCTCTGCTAAGCTCCTCCAATGCTCTCCTCTCGTTCTCCTCCATCCTGTCTCCATCCCTACTCATCCCTCGTGTAATTCTTCTTTCTGGTTCCATATTATCTTTGTACTTCTCCGAGGTTCGCACGGGTCGTCGGTAAGAGCGATCCTTGATACTGTCACGGGCGTCGAACAACTATTTCTTAATAGACCGACGGTCGACGAACCTCGGCTAACTTCACGCTCTGAGTCGATGTCTCACCCAACCAGGAGGGCGCAGACGTCGAAAGGAGTGTAACTACGGCGTACTTCGGCGTAGTTACTCTAACTGAGGTTTTATTCTACTGATGGCGATGTATCTCGATTGTATATAGCTATCTCTATGTCTTTCACTACTGACAACAATCAAGGATCGCTGAAGAACTTCAGCGATCTTCTCAGCTAATATTATCTACTCCTCCTAGACGTTCATCCAACCCTCTCGCGCTTTGACGTACTTCAACGCACTTCGTCCAACTTCCCCGAGCCCTCGGCCATCCTCTTCCTCCTTCGACTAACTCCGCCTAACATCGCCGCACTTCTGCTCCCATTGTCCCTACTTAGCCTAACTCCGTCTAACTTCGCCGTACTTCTGCTCCCATTGTCCCTACTTAGACTAACTCCGCCTAACATCGCCGCACTTCTGCTCCCATTGTCCCTACCTAGCCTAACTCCGTCTAACTTCGCCGTACTTCTGCTCCCATTGTCCCTACCTAGCCTAACTCCGTCTAACTTCGCCGTACTTGGTCTCAGAAGTCCTGAGTTACGTGTAGAGTAAAGAGGTTAAGACGTGATGGGGGTTTTGATGGTCAAAGGAGGGTCATTGTTGGTGGAATAATCGAGGTGTCACGACGTAGTTCGTGACACTTGTTAATTAGTAGACGTGAGATCATCACGTATAATCGTCCAAACTGGCCCTGCCTCAAGGCAGTCCGGCCACACAACAAAGCCCTCCGCTGTGCTTCATGCACATCTGGTCCCTGCTCCTTCTGTCCCGTCTCCTCTGCTCGGGACATCCCGCCCCGTCCCTCCGACCCTTCGCCTTTCCCCCCTCCTCAGACTCCAGCGTCTGTCCCCCGTTCGCGGGTACCTCCTTCGTCCCTCCGGTCGGTTCGCCGTACTTCGCCGGACCTCCGCCCGTCGCCTCCGTCGCCGTCGCCCTTCGCTCCTGTGGCCGGCCCATCACGTCTCCCGGCTGTTCCTCCTTCGTCTTCTCGCCGTCCTTCGGCCTCTGCTCCTTCGGCCTCCCGTCCTTCGGCCTCCCGTCCTTCGGCCTCTCGTCCTTCGGCGCCACGTCCGTCCTCTCCAGTGGTAGCTTCTCCTCCGGCTCACGGCACCCGAAGTCGGCGTCCTTCTGTTCCTCCGGCCACTTCGGCGGCCCCTCCCGTCACCCCTCCCTCTGCTTCCCAGAAGACACCGAAGTCTTCTTTAAAGAAATCAAAAGGGAAATCTAAAGAGAAGGAGGTTGCCTTCAATGATGGTGATGTGGAAGATGAAGATACTCAGCGTGCTGGTCCCTCTGCTCCCCGGTTGTCCCTCGTCCACCCTCGTATCTCCCTGGACGTCCGTATTCCTGAGGACAAAAAGGAATTCGCCACTTATCGTTCTCTCGTCCTCGGTCTCACTACTCAGCTCGAGGCCGCCCAAAATGATACATCTCTCCTGCTTGACTTCTCTTCTCGTCAAGCTAACGCTTTAAACAATCTTACTGCGGCGTTAGTAGATGTAGTCAACACTGGGGCTCTGGACGACGAAGCAAGGACGAGGTTAGCGGACGTCTCTCGCCGAAGCCTTACTGAGATAGCCGATGTTCGCCGAAGACTGTTCGACACCCCCTTCCTAGTTACTCCTATGGCGTATGAGCCACCACCGTCCCTTGACTGGTTAGGTCGCCGTAGTAGTTCTCGTGTCCCAGCTTCCGCCCAGACTGCTCTCGACCTCCTCAGTCTTCCCTTCGAGTGTCTACGGACCATACGTTCTCTGTGGAGGACTCCAAGCATGCAAGCTGCTCGAGATGTCCAGGACTTCGGTGACTTCTTCGGGGCTATGAATCGGGCATGGAATGCTTCTCTCTCTACTGCGTTCCCGTCTGAGACTCTCGATCTACCTTCGGTCATCGGTAGCCTCCACACCAATCCTGCGGGACCGAGTAGATCGAAGGAGAAAGGAAAAGGAAAAGGTAAGGGTAAGAGTAAGGACAAGTGAGCGGTACGTAGCTGTAATCCTATGTTGTATGCAGTACGTTCTACCTCCTAGCCCTTCGCAGTCGCCCTTCCTTCGGCTTAGTAGGGTGAAGTTCGTGGAACTTCGCCAATATGTCATCAGCTCCATCGACGTTCTCCACTGGTTCCCATGATACTGAGTCGTCTGTTCCTTCGTAACCTAACCACTCCACCAAGTACTCTAACTTTCCTGACCTCTATTTACTCTAGAGTCCACAATGTCTTTTACCTCCCACGATTCCCCTACATTATCTACCTCTACTGGGCCAGGTGGTTCAGCTTGCTGACCAGGAAATATTGGAGGGTGATAAGGACGGAGCAAGGAGACATGGAATACATCATGGATACCTGCCATCGTTCCTGGTAATTCCAATTTACAAGCATGAGAACCTACCTGCCGCACTACCTTGTACGGCCCACTCTGCTTAACATCTAACTTCTTCATTGGTCTCTTCGTCTTAATGTTCTCTAACGACAGCATCACTAGGTCTCCTTCCGCGAAGTTCGGCGCAGCGCGGTGTTTCCTATTGTATCCTTCGGCGTACTTCTCATTAGCTTTCTTAATCCCTTCGATACACTCCTTATGTATCTCGGTCAAATCTTTTACCACCACCGTAGCAGCGGGTACTTCGACTTCACTGGCCTTGATTTCTTCAGCCCATCGAGGATGATATCCATAGTTGGCATAAAATGGTGTCTTATTAATCGCGGAATGGTGGGTGTTATTGTAGGCGAAGCTAGCTCGAGCTAGTAACTTCGACCAGTCATTCTGTTGATAGGAGGTGAAAATTCGAAGATAGAGCTCTAAAGACTGGTTGGTTCGTTCGGTCTGTCCATCAGTCTGTGGATGATATGCAGTAGAGAGATGTAGTCTTATCCCGAGACTATCGGTCAAGTTCTTCCAAAATTTCGAGGTGAACTTCGATCCCCTGTCAGATACTATGTTCTCTGGTAGCCCATGCTGAGCCACCACATAGTCCATTATCAACTCGGATAGGCCAGCTGCGGTTAACTTCGTCGTAGTCGGGATAAAGATGGCCCATTTGGTCAACCGGTCCACCACTACTAAGATGGAATTGTGTCCATGGGAATTCAGGAGCTCTTCAATGAAATCCATCAAAATGCTGGACCATGGCTTCGTAGCCACTTCCAGTGGTTTAAGCTCTCCATGGGGTCTCTGCCTGTTAGTCTTTGCTCTCTGGCATACCGCACATCCAGTGATGTAATCTTCAACATCTTTCCTTACTCCAACCCAAACGTAGTCCCGTAGGACTAGCTCCAGAGTCTTCGCTGAGCCTGGGTGACCAGCTAGAACCGAGTCATGTCGCATCTTCATGATCTTTAGTCGAGCATCGGCGTAGTTCGGCACATAAGTAACACCATCAAACGTAAGGAACCCCCTTGAATCCCATCCCCCACGAAGTATTAAGGGAGACCGCGAGTTACGGCGTAGTTCGGTGACCGACTCTGGTTCCTGCACATTATCGTGACATGTCGGATGAGAGCACTTAGCACAGGTTACTGTCACGAACTACGTCGTAACATCCCTGACAACCGCCATCACCGACCCTCCTTTCCTCATCACCGACCTTCCTTTCATCATCACCAACCTCCACTCGAACCACTGAGACGGACTACGGCGAAGTTACGAGAACCAAGAGGGTATTATTTGTCACGACAACCCCGCCTAGCGGAGAACTACGGCGAAGTTAGGGGAAGGGAACCGAGGGGTAGCAGAGCAGGGGAAGTTAGGCGAAGTTAGTCGAAGTGAGTAGAGTAGGATCTCGGGGATATGACGAGGTACGGCGAGGTTGAACGAAGAGGACTGAGCGTGAGGCAGTGCAGGAGTTGAGGGACATTCTAGGAGAAGTGAGGAGTAGTATAGATAGGTTACAGGTCGCTGAACTTCTTCAGCGATCCTTGATTGTTGTCAGTAGCGAGCGATATATTCAGTAGCTACAACCACCAAGTTAAGGAGAGCTACCACCGAGCAGTTCGACGTACTACGGCGAGGTTAGCCGCAGTTACTCGACGATCACCTTATCACTTACCACTCGACCTATTACTACGGCATAGTTAGCCGTAGTTCCCCTACGAGTACCCTGTCCTAGTGAGACATCGACGCCACACTACGACGTAGTTAGCCGAGGTTTGTCGACCGTCGGTCAGAAGAGGAGAAGAAACGACGATTGTGACAGTATCAAGGATCGCTCTTACCGACGACCCGTACAAACCTCGGAGCAGTTCAAGATTGTATGCAACCGGAAAGAAGAGTTACAAGAAGTATGAGTAGACCAGGAGAAACGGTAGAAGAGACGGAGAGGAGGATGTTGGAGGAATTAAGACAAAACTTGGGGCCATTGCCTGGTGCAATTGATACCCCCGAAGGATCAACCCAAGGAGATGATTTTTATCCACCCCTACCTCTTGAACCACCCCCCCTGCCAACCGGATTATCAGAACCACCGACTGTAGGGACAGGTTCAGAAGGGTCGGGACAAACACCGCGACCAAGGGAGAAGAACACGGAAGGTGGACTAAGTTCGGCGGGGAGCGAAGGAGTAGGGAGAGCGGAGGAAGAGGCCACCACTCAGAAAATGATGCTGGCGATGATGAACATGATGATGGAGATGAACAGGGACATGATAGCGGAGAGGAGACGTCGGGAGGAACAGGAGAAGAAGAAGGAACAGGAGACGGTTGGAGGAATAGTTGAAGGGATCTCTGAAGGGGTACGATTCGCCATGGGGAGACAAGCTTTGGCGACCCCAGGCGTGGCTGAGATAGGAGGAGGGATAAAACTTCCCCTCCCAGACCTTTGGAGAGGCGAGAGGTCAAAGCTCACCGCCTTCATCTCAGAATGTGAAGTTCACTTCGAAATCAACGCCCGCAAGTTCCCCACTGACCGAGTAAAAATCTTTTTCATGATCTCCCACCTACGCGATACCCCTCTTCTCGCCGTCCAACCGGATTTGCCTAAAGACGACCCCCCCGAACACCTTCTAGTCTATAAGAAGTTCATCCAATATCTCAAGACCAACTTCGGAGACCCTGATGAGGAGGGAACCGCCGCTAGGGGAATAAACGAGCTTCGACAGAATGGGTCGGCTTCGGCGTACTTCGCCGCCTTTCAGCGATATGTAGCGGTGTTAGGATGGGGCGATGATGGGAACCTTGTGGACCGGGCAAAGAATGGACTGAAAAGTCACTTGCTGGATGAGATCGCTCGGCACGGAAAGGTCTTCAAGACTGTCCGCGAGTTGATTGAGTTCGTGGTCCCCATGGACAATCGCTTGCATCAGCGAAGGGTGGAGAAGGAGAATGAGAAGAAGAGGAAGGAAACAAAGGACCAGGGGGAGAAGAAAGAGGAAGTAAATCGGGGAGGGGAACGGAGGAGCGAGGAGAAATGGCAATCTACGCCGAAGTTCGAGGGCGCGCAATCGAAGGGCACGAACGGGGGAAGGGCAATACCAACGGATGTAGACGAACTAAATCGTCGTTGGCCGAGACCCAGTGCTGATGAGGTTTTAAAGCGTCGGGAGGAAGGGAAGTGTACTGGGTGTGGAGAGAGAGGGCATTACAACCGGGATTGTCCTGTAATAGCGGCGAAGGTAAAAGCCGGGATCATCCCCTTGAGATCTTTTGGACAAAATGCTGGAGGAGAAGGGAGATTTAGCACGGGAGGAAACGCCGTCCCTCTTGGGGACAGGAAGAAGATCAATGCAGTTGGAGGGGAAGAAGCATGTGTTGGAGAGCGGGGGATGGACGAGGAGGAAAAAGATGGGGACCCGTCGCGATAGGCGAGACTCGGCGGGTCCGCACTCATATTCTCTCGGCCACTGTCCCTACCCCCAGTAAAAGGAAAGAGCTGATGAGACCAGGTAAATGTGTATATAAATCCTTAAACACCACTCCGAAATGTATAAACGACTGTCATACCCTAATCCCTTCCACTTGTAACAACCAACCCAAATCTAACGTGTATGTCGAAGGAATCGAACTAACGGCCCTGTGGGACACTGGGGCAACCTGTTCATATATAAGTCCCAAGGCGGTCAGGAAGATTAGGAAGGAGAGGAGGAAATACCCCGTGAGTGTACCAGTTCATATGTTCGATGGCTCGGTTAGTGTGGCTGGTCCCATTACGGAGTTTGTCGAAGTGAGTCTGGGTGTCGAGAAGTTAGGCGAAGTTCGCCAAATTAAGCTGGATGTTACCGCCCTTTGTGACGCGGATGTTGTGATAGGGTGGGAATGGATGAGAGAAGAGAGAGTAATCCTGAATGGGGGAGCGAATATGATATCCTTCCCTGCCAATGAGGAAAGCACGGTATCCTTTCCCCCACCCTTACCGAGTGAAAGAGAGGAGTTATCCTCTCCCCTTCCACAGACGAGAAATGTTGCGAGCCTGGCAGCCATAGGGCTCAGGACTCGAACCGACGAGACAGACCTCCGCGGCGAAGATGAGCTTGAAGAGCTGAGCCCGGAGGAACAAGACGAGTTGTTCCAGGTAGTTCCTGAACAATACCACCAGTACATTGACGTTTTTAATCCAAAGAAGGGAGGAGAGACCCTTCCCCCTTCAAGGTCCTACGATTTGAAGTTTGAGCTTAAGGAGGGGGCGAACCTTAAGGTCGCCTCCCTCTATGCTCAAGGAGAAGATCAGAGACGCGCGCTGAGAGACATACTAGATCGCGAAATCGCCGCTGGCCGAATTCGGGCAAGTAACTCGCCATACGGCTCACCAATGTTTATGATACCGAAGAAAGCCGAAGGACAATGGCGAATGGTCATCGACTATCGAAAACTGAACGAAGCGACCATACCAGATGCCTACCCTCTCCCTCTAATAGGTCAAATTACCGAAGAACTTGGAAAAGCAAGGTATTTCAGCAAACTAGATCTAATTGGAGCATACCAATTGTTGAGGGTGACAGAGGGACATGAACACCTGACGGCGTTCAGGACACAGTATGGTATGTTTGAATCTCTGGTTGTTCGTGATGGGCTGCGAAACGCCCCCGCGGTCTTCCAACACTTCCTAAATGAGGTGTTTAGGGAGCTACTAGGGAATGGAGTCGTGGTCTACATTGACGATATCCTCATTTATGGGAATACGTTGGAGGAATTACGAGGAACTACGGCAAAGGTCTTTGAGGTACTGCGGAAGGCGAGCCTGTACGTGAAAGCTAGTAAGTGCGAGTTCGAAAGAGATTCGGTGGTGTTTCTGGGTTTCGTGGTATCCTCTAAAGGTGTATCGGTGAACCCAGAATACATTGATGCCATCACTTCCTTCCCACGTCCTAAGAATCTACGAGAGTCAAGGGGATTCATTGGAGTTGTAAGCTATTACAGGCGCTTTGTCCCCAACTTCTCGAAGATTGCTAGACCTATCAATGACTTGACAAGGAAGGAGGTACCATTTGTATGGGGAGTTGAACAGGAGTCAGCCTTCAAAGAGTTGAAGGCTAGGATGTGTACTGCGCCGGTGTTAGCCCATTTTGACCCTACATTGAAGACGATATTACAGACAGATGCGTCGTTCTTCGGCTGGGGGTTCATAATTTCGCAGATCAACACGGCTGGTCAAGAACACCCGGTAGCTATTGAGTCTGGTGCTTTCAACACAGCTCAGCTGAATTATACGGTAGGAGAAAAGGAGTTCCTCGCTGTAGTGGAGGGTTTCAGAAGAAGGAGACACTTATTATTGCAGGTAGAAACCACAGTACTTACCGACCATCTAAACCTTACCTACTGGATGGAACCGAAACAACTCAGTCCTCGGCAAGGTAGGTGGGTAGAGGAGCTAGCTAACTTCAGGTTTAAAATGGTTTATCGACCAGGAACCCAGGCAAGTCTTCCAGATGGATTATCTAGACGGGCGGACTATCATTCCGGGAAAGGAAGTACCATGGTACAAGAGAGCAACCTTATCCAAGGTCTGCCGAAGTTCGACGAAGTTGACGCCACCACATCGGAGTTGCGTCACCTCCTTCGGGCATTGCAAGGGACAAGGGAGGTAAAGGAAAATGATCTTGTGGACCCTACGGATCTAGTACTTGGAGTTCAGGAGGACGAAGACATAGAAGGGGTCAGAGAAGAATTATTAGGAGTCGTTTGCGCTGAGTGTTCTCATCCTACGTGTAACGATAACGTGCAGGAACCAGGATCAATCACCGAACTACGCCGTAGTTCGCGGTCTCCTCTAATCCTTCGTGGGGGGTGGAACTCAAGAGGTTTCCTCACATTCGACGATCACATTTATGTGCCGAACTACGCCGATGCTCGACTGAAGATCATGAAAATGCGACATGACTCGGCCTTAGCTGGTCACCCAGGTTCAGCGAAGACCCTTGAGCTAGTTCTAAGGGACTATGTCTGGATTGGAGTAAGGAAGGATGTTGAGGACTACATCGCTGGATGCGCGGTATGTCAGAGAGCAAAGACTAACAGGCAGAAACCCCATGGAGAGCTTAAACCACTGGAGGTAGCTACGAAACCTTGGTCTAGCATCTCGATGGATTTTATATCGAGGAGCTGCCAAATTCCCATGGATATAATTCCATCCTGGTAGTGGTGGATCGGTTGACCAAATGGGCCATTTTTATCCCGACTACGACGAAGTTAACCGCAGCCGGCCTATCAGAGTTGATATTGGACTATGTGGTGGCCCAGCATGGGTTGCCAGAGAATATAGTATCGGACAGGGGATTGAAGTTTACCTCCAAGTTCTGGAAGAATTTGACCGATAGTCTCGGAATAAGACTACATCTCTCTACTGCATATCATCCACAGACTGACGGACAGACCGAACGAACCAACCAGTCTTTGGAACTGTATCTTCGAATCTTCACCTCCTATCAGCAGAACTGTAACGGTACTGGAAACACGACGACTAGGTCGCAGGTTGGGTCGAACTCGATGGAGGTCTCGTGGAAATCTAGGGGCTCTGGTGCTAATGGATCGTGTCTCCTCTGCAATCGATGTAGCCAAAGAATGATATTGAAGAATCAGCAAAGTTGGTACTTTGCTGATTGTACTATATACTGTCTACAGGTATCCGTGTCCTCCTCTCAGTTCCTACTGCAAGCGTCTATGTACATACTCGGACAGGTGAAAAACCGCTTTTGAGCAAACCCAGTGGGGAAATCTCGAAAAGGGAAAACCCGTCCCTACCTACTGCAGCACTGCCTCCAACTCCCGCTTTCCTCTGTCCTAATCCGTCGAACTCGATAGAGTCCTCTCGATTCGTTGTTACCCCGTAACAAGAACGACTGGTCGAAGCTACTCGCTCGAGCTAGCTTTGCTTACAACAACACCCAGCACTCTGCGATAAACAAAACCCCATTCTATGCGAACTATGGATATCACCCTCGTTGGGCTGAAGAGATAAAGGCTAGCGAAGTTGAGGTACCCGCTGCTACAGTGGTAGTGAAGGATCTTACCGAAATACATAAAGAGTGTATCGAAGGAATTGAGAAGGCTAATGAGAAGTACGCCGAAGGGTATAATAGGAAGCACCGGACTACGCCGAACTTCGTGGAAGGTGACCTAGTGATGCTGTCATTAGAGAACATTAAGACTAAAAGGCCTATGAAGAAGTTAGACGTTAAGCAAAGTGGACCGTACAAGGTAGTACGGCAGGTGGGGTCTCATGCTTGTAAATTGGAATTACCAGGAACGATGGCAGGTATCCATGATGTATTCCATGTCTCCTTGCTCCGTCCATATCACCCTCCAGTATTTCCTGGTCAGCAAGCTGAACCACCTGGCCCGGTAGAGGTGGATAACGTAGGAGAATCATGGGAAGTAAAGGATATTGTGGATTCAAGAGTAAACAAGAGGTCAGGGAAGCTAGAGTATCTAGTGGAATGGTTAGGCTACGAGGGCTCTGATGATTCAGTATCATGGGAACCAGTAGAGAATGTGGACGGAGCTGATGACATATTGGCGAAGTTCCACGAACTTCACCCTGGTAAACCGAAGAAAGGACGAGTGGTGAGATCACGGGCGAGGAAGTAATCCATACAACGGGTACAACATTAGCTAAGTACAACTCACTGCTGCGAACTTCCTCCCTGTTCCCCGTTCCCCGGTGGAGGACCACCTCCAGAACTATTCTCGGTATCCTTTGGTGGTACTACCCGTCGAAGGGCCCGAGTCTCTCTCCATGCCATATTGAAGGCCAGAATGTGGGAGTCGTGGAGAGCAGAGTCGCGAGCGATATTCAGACTAGGCAGCTTCCATAACTGCCGAAGAATTCTAAGACAGTCCGGGGGAAGAGCCAGGATATCGAGGAAGGCAGCATCCTGAGAACTGAGTCGAGCCGGATTGGGTGGCCTTAGCCAGTCAAGCGTGGGGGGAAGGAGATACTCGATGGGATTCAGGAGGAAAGGAGAGTCGAAGAGATTGCGGTAGAAGTCGCTCATTTCCGTAATAAGCTCCCGAGAGACTCTAGCTAACTCCGTCCGCGCTAATGGGCCTATATCGGACGAGCTTACAAGAGTTGCCATTGTCCGGGACAGAGTGTTCATACCAGAGACCAGTTTCATGCAATACTCGAGAAGCTTCGCCGTGTCTCGTCGATTGGCGTGCAGCTGTGTGGTCAACCCGATAATGAGAGAACGGAAGGTAGCCAGTTGTTTCTCCTCCTCTGGGATTCGAGGATCGTCGGTGACGTAGGGGTGGTCTAGGGGAATAGGAATTTCCTCTGGTAGCTGAGTACCTTCATTTTCTACCACGGCAGGTTCAAATTGGACAGCCTTCTTCTTCTTGCCTTTCCCTTTTTGAGCCTTCGACGAAGAAGTGTTGGCAGGAGGGGCAGGGGTTGAGAGCCCAGTCGCAGGAGGGACAGATGGTTGACGGCTTCGGGTACCGAGAGCAGGAGGAAGACTAAGAGAGGAGTCCTCTTGTGTTGAGACAGGAGTAGGACGGCTCCTGGTAGGACGAGACGGACCGGCCGAAGGGGTAGCCGGGAGACGAGATGGACCAGCCACAGGAGTAGAGGGCTGGAGGGAGGCGGAAGGAGCACGACGAGGCGCGCGGCGAGACGAACCTGCCGAAGGAGTAGCAGGGAGACGAGACGGTCCGGCCACGGGAGAGTTTGGCGGGCGACGGACGGCGGGTGACGGCGAGGTCGGGCCGGGAGAGGAGAAGTTCGCCGAAGGAGGGGGAGAAGGGAATTCCTTGTCCTGGGCCGTGGGGAGACGGTGACGAACGGCGGCAGACGGGGTGAAGGGAGCAGAAGATCTTGGGGGAATGTCCCGAGCGATATTGGGGGGACAGAACGAGCAAGGGCCGGAAGTACAGGAAGCACAACGGGATCCGCGATTATGAGGTTTAACCGGTCGCAGACACGGCCATTTCTTTCTCCCGTATGTGATAATTTCGCAACTATTGATCAGCAGATGTAAAAACCTTCGTGGGAATAGACCTACCGACATCTATCGCAAGACTCGTCCGGACTGGCAACCTCCCAACGCTCCCTTTCGTCGACAAACAGCTTCCATAGCCTATCTTGTTCCCGCAACGACGCCTTACGAGCACTCCCTGGCTCCTTGGTAGGGGAGGGAGACTTTTCTCCCAGGACAGACGGAGACCGACTACGAGTAACCTCGGTCCGTTTTGCTGACGAAGGGCGAACATCGCCCTGGGCGGAGGACAACCGACGACGTTTCTCGACCTTGACCTCGTCCAGCTTAGCCATGTAGGCTAAGCGCTTCTTCCCATTGGAACTCAATACCCTCACGCGAACTTCGGGGGACCCATCGACTTCACGAACAGCTGTACATGTTAGCACTCACGGACAGGTTATGCAATGGGGAACGTACGACTTAATGCGTTTAACTCGGACAACCAGCCATCCCTATCCTCAAACAATTCTTCGTCACCAAGATCAACATCATACGTTTCTTCATCTACATCACCCATTTCTTCATCATCACCACCTGCACCACCCGTTCTCTCATCACCAACAACATCACCCGTCTCTTCGTCACTACTGACGACGTCCATCTCCTCGTCGTCATCATCAATTTCCACCACAGTGGCGGACTGACCCGAAGGTTGCGAAAGGCCAACAGGAGCAGGTCTGACCTCCTGCTGGCCAGAAGAGAGAGGGGTCGGCGCAGTAGCGGGGGACACAGGGACAGAGGGAACCGCGGCAGGAGCTCCAGTGACAGGAGCGGCGACAGAGGGCGAACCGTCGGTAATTGCCAGGGCCCCAAAACCCATGGACGACACTTGACGGGGGGTATCCCTCTGCTGAGAGACTGAATTGATCAGCAATACGCTAGCTTATGAGCAGCACAAATGAACTAACGGGTAGCGGCGAAACGATCCATAAAGGCCTGGTAGGCGTCGAGTTGTTGGCGAGTGCTCATATTGTTAAAATATGTCAAATTGAGATGTTTGTTAAGGTAAGGGTGGAGAATCGATATACGATGATAGTACGATTTAGGATTATTACTGGGGAAGAAGAAGAAGTGGGCCGAAGTACTGGGTATTTAGTATAACTGACACGACTACTCGTCGTCAGGGCGCTGGTAACTTCGCATAACAAGGTGTCTCAGCAACAACAAACACCATGGCGACGATCAAAATTCCCACGCTACGTGTCTCACATTCATATAAGTTAGGGATACGCTGACGAACTTCGACGAGGTTTGTTGTACCCCAAATCCTCTGTCTCACTTACAACGTAATTACCACAGGGTAACAACAAACAACCACGGTGAACTTCGACGAAGTTAACTGTCTGATTCACAACGAACCATGGTATCATCTACCAACAACTGATATATGACCAATTGTGTTTCCTACAACCTGCTGAGTGTCTTTTTCTTCAATACATGCATACAAAGCTCACGAGGACGTTCGCGCCTAAGGAGGGGGCGACTGTCACGAACTACGTCGTAACATCCCTGACAACCGCCATCACCGACCCTCCTTTCCTCATCACCGACCTTCCTTTCATCATCACCAACCTCCACTCGAACCACTGAGACGGACTACGGTGAAGTTACGAGAACCAAGAGGGTATTATTTGTCACGACAACCCCGCCTAGCGGAGAACTACGGCGAAGTTAGGGGAAGGGAACCGAGGGGTAGCAGAGCAGGGGAAGTTAGGCGAAGTTAGTCGAAGTGAGTAGAGTAGGATCTCGGGGATATGACGAGGTACGGCGAGGTTGAACGAAGAGGACTGAGCGTGAGGCAGTGCAGGAGTTGAGGGACATTCTAGGAGAAGTGAGGAGTAGTATAGATAGGTTACAGGTCGCTGAACTTCTTCAGCGATCCTTGATTGTTGTCAGTAGCGAGCGATATATTCAGTAGCTACAACCACCGAGTTAAGGAGAGCTACCACCGAGCAGTTCGACGTACTACGGCGAGGTTAGCCGCAGTTACTCGACGATCACCTTATCACTTACCACTCGACCTATTACTACGGCATAGTTAGCCGTAGTTCCCCTACGAGTACCCTGTCCTAGTGAGACATCGACGCCACACTACGACATAGTTAGCCGAGGTTTGTCGACCGTCGGTCAGAAGAGGAGAAGAAACGACGATTGTGACAGTTACCCCCAATAATTCTTCTCTAACCTCCTCCACCTCTTCGTCTTCTTGTATCCCAACTATCAAATCCATAGGATCAATGAGGTCGTTTTCTCGTACTTCCTTTGTACCCTGTAAAGCTCGAAGTAGGTGTTGTAACCCAGAGCTAGTGTCGTCAAGTTCGTCGAACTTCGGCAAACCTTCCATGAGATTGCTCTCTTGCACCATGGTACTCCCTTTTCCCGAGTGGTAGTCCGCTCTTCTCGATAATCCGTCCGGCAGTGTGGCTTGTTTTCCTGGTCGATACACCATTTTGAACCTGAAGTTAGAGAGCTCTTCGACCCACCTACCCTGTCTAGGGCTAAGTTGTTTAGGTTCCATCCAATACGTCAAATTCAAATGATCTGTGAGAACTGTAGTCTCTACCTGTAGCAGTAAGTGTCTCCTTCTTCTGAAAGCCTCAACGATAGCTAGTAACTCCTTTTCGCCTACCGTGTAGTTCAACTGCGCCGCCTGGAACGCTCCGGACTCGATAGCCACCGGATGTTCTTGCCCCAACTCGTTCACCTGCGAAATTATGAAACCCCAGCCGAAGAACAACGCATCTGTTTGTAGTAGTGTCTTCAACGAAGGGTCAAAATGAGCCAATACTGGGGCCCTACACATCCTCTCCTTTAATTCCTTAAAAGCTCTTTCCTGCTCTACTCCCCAAACAAACGGTACATCCTTCCTGGTGAGATCTGTCACAGGGTTGCTTCTTCGTTAACTTCCTACGACCGACGGCCAATAACTTCGTGGGCTTCGACCTTTACCAACTTCGTTGTTCGAGATATGAAATAGGTGACAATAACTTCTGGGTGTAATAACTTCGTACTTTACTAACTTCTATCACTAAGACAACAACCAGAGATCGTCAAAGATCTCTGGGAACTTCGGCCCTTAAGTACTTCGTCCTTCCCTAACTTCGTCAACGCAGAACTTCGTTCAACCCGACGTCCCGAGCTTCGTACCTCACGAACTTCGTCCCCGACGAAGTTCGTGCCTTCCTAACTTCGTATCCTCCTAACTTCGTATCTCCCTAACTTCGTATCTTCCTAACTTCGTATCCCCCTAAGTTCCTACATGACTAACTTCGTCCTCGACGAAGTTAGCCTCCTAATACCCTCGTGGGTGGTGAAGTTCATGCGAACTGGGTCGTTGATGGCGAACTGATGTCCAAAGGAACTTCGTTTGATGGGAAAGGATAATGTCACGCGGCGCCGCGTGACAGTCGCCCCCTCCTTGAGCGCGAACGTCCTCGTGAGCGAACATCAACGCCGAAAAGAACAAAACAACTCAGCATGAAGTTCGGTTCTCACCCTTCTCCTCAAACCAACTTCCTGACAATGTAATTCCCGTAATGAAATTCCAGGAAAATCTGAAACCTCCTTTGGCTACGCCGCCTTCCTCACAACAAGATCGCCATCTACCGAACTTCGTAACTTGCCTCCTAGACATTGGAAAATCGTGGGGGAAATTCGTATGTGACAAGAAGATATGACAATGATAGAGGAATTTTATGTATGGGGAATGGGAAGCAATAATCTGTTCGTGAGTGCAGTATCCATGAGTGCAAGTAGGAAACCCCTTAGCCTAAAAACTTTCTCTCGTATCCAGGGATCTTCGTGGTATCCTGGACTCCATGAAACACAACGTTGACGACGGGAACGCCCTTATCTGTTGTCAACAGCAACGAATTTCCCCTTATACTTTGTAAGTCGACGAACTTCCCCCCCTAACTTCTTCAATTCTAACTCTCTTCTTACATCTCAACCAACTCTCTCACTAAATTCATCTCTTCATACCCACCATGGCCCCGTCTACCCCTCGAAAACTCGTCAAATCTCCTCCTTCGAACGTTGCCCGAAGGACTCGAAGCAGTAAGTTCTAATTGCCTAAGAATTTCGTGGAGAAGTTTCGTGTCATGGCTGATGTTAGTGTCCCGGGTCCAGTCTCCCCCTCCTGCTCCTCCTTCGTCCTTCGTCCGCCGCCTTGCCAGCTCGGCTGGCCTTCGCCTCTCTTCCTTGTCGGCCGCTCTCCCTTCTCTGTCGGCGTCTTCCTCGTCTTCCGCGCCTCCCGCTCCCGTCGCCGGTCCATCCTCGACTCCGGCCAAGAGAAAAGCTCCCTCGAAAGAGGCGAGTTTAAGAAGAAAATCTTCCATCCTTCGGTCTCCTAAGAAGAGACATCGACGAACTTCTTCACCAATATCGGTGTCCTCTTCCTCTTCGTCCGCTTTGTCCTCGCCCACCCCCGCTCGCAAACGGGTACGGGTTGAAGCCCCCTCTTCCTCGCCTGTTCCTCGTCCGGGAACGGTAAGAACTTCGGCGAGTCTCTTGGCCCTCCTCGCGGCCCAACCTGGAAGGTGGGAGCTTGCTCCCAAGGGCGAAGAATGTGATCGCTGCCGGTGAGTGAATCAAACTTCCCAGAACGTAACAGATCCTAACTTCCAGTGACGAGCAATCTCGTCACCCCGACTTCCCCTGTGTTCGTCCTTGTGGGACCAACCGCGGTACACGATGTGCATCGTGTACATCAGGTGTCTGTTCCTTCCTCCCCCCTTCCCCTGCTAAACAGAGGAAAGTCTCGACAACTTCTCGCTCTTCGCCCGTCGCTCGCTCGTCGCCCCCCGCTGCTCGTCGTTCGGTGTTCGCGACCGAATCTCCTTCGTCATCGGACGAACTTCCCGGTCTTCCTCCTCCTCTTCCTCCTTCGGTTTGTTAATGCGAAGCAGCAT